TCAGAGTTATGTCCGTGGAAAAAGTTCAAAGTGCAATAATTCCAAAATTAGGCAAGGCTGTTACAGTTCTTTGCACTGCACTTCTAATCAATGTGATCTATCAACCTACAAAGTTTCTTGATAATATCTCTTATGATTTCCGAGTTATGTCCTGGACAATTCAAAAAGTAAAAATAAACAAAGGGCAATAACTCCAGAATTAGGCTAGGTAGAGTTATGATTCTTGTGCACTGCACATCTACCAATTGAGATTTATCTACCTACAAAGTTTCATGTTGATATCTCTTATAGTTTTACAGCTATGTCCTGGACAAGATTTTTCTAAAAGGGGAGATTATTAAAAAATAAGGCTTAACAGAGTTATAGCTCTTTTGCACTGCACATCTATCCATTGAGATCTATTCACCTACAAAGTTTCATGTTGATATCTCTTATGGTTTTAGAGTTATGCCCCGGACAAGATTTTTCTATAAGGGGAGATAATTCAAAAACCGGGCAAAATAGAGTTATGGTTCTTTGACACTGCACTCCCCCTCCATGCCCTCTACCACTGTATGAAGTTTCAACAAATTATCTCCAAGGGTTTTCAAGTTATGTTCCGGACAAAGTTCAAAGTATTAAAATTAACAAAGGGCAATAACTCCAAAATTAGGACAAAAAGAGTTATTGTTCTTATGCACTGCACATCTACGCATTGAGATCTATTCACCTACAAAGTTTCATGTTGATATCTCTAATAGTTTTAGAGTTATGCCCCGGACAAGATTTTTCTATAAGGGGAGATAATTCAAAAACCGGGCAAAATAGAGTTATGGTTCTTTGACACTGCACTCCCCCTCCATGCCCTCTACCACTGTATGAAGTTTCAACAAATTATCTCCAAGGGTTTTCAAGTTATGTTCCGGACAAAGTTCAAAGTATTAAAATTAACAAAGGGCAATAACTCCAAAATTAGGACAAAAAGAGTTATTGTTCTTATGCACTGCACATCTACCCATTGAGATCTATTCACCTACAAAGTTTCATGTTGATATCTCTTATAGTTTTACAGCTATGTCCTGGACAAGATTTTTCTAAAAGGGGAGATTATTAAAAAATAAGGCTTAACAGAGTTATAGCTCTTTTGCACTGCACATCTATCCATTGAGATCTATTCACCTACAAAGTTTCATGTTGATATCTCTTATGGTTTTAGAGTTATGCCCCGGACAAGATTTTTCTATAAGGGGAGATAATTCAAAAACCGGGCAAAATAGAGTTATGGTTCTTTGACACTGCACTCCCCCTCCATGCCCTCTACCACTGTATGAAGTTTCAACAAATTATCTCCAAGGGTTTTCAAGTTATGTTCCGGACAAAGTTCAAAGTATTAAAATTAACAAAGGGCAATAACTCCAAAATTAGGACAAAAAGAGTTATTGTTCTTATGCACTGCACATCTACCCATTGAGATCTATTCACCTACAAAGTTTCATGTTGATATCTCTTATACTTTTAGAGTTATGCCCCGGACAAGATTTTTCTATTAGGGGAGATAATTCAAAAACCGGGCAAAATAGAGTTATGGTTCTTTGACACTGCACTCCCCCTCGATGCCCTCTACCACTGTATGAAGTTTCAACAAATTATCTCCAAGGGTTTTCAAGTTATGCTCCGGACAAGACAACGGACGGACAGACGGACAGACGGACGGACGGACAGACGGACGGACGGACAGACGGACAGACGGACAAGGCGCCGACTATATGCTCCCCCGAAATTTTTCGGGGAGCATAAAAAAAAGTGAAATAAAAAAGAAATGACATTTTAACAGCAATTATACAATTTCTTTTAGAATTTTATTCAACCAAGTTGTCTTTACCTGTTATGGTCAGTAATAATATTATATGCTTTCCTCCTAATTTGCGTAACCTAGCTACTATCCTCTTATATAAATCCAAACAAAATAACCTATCCAATATTTCAGACACTTCAACACTTGTGCTGGTTAAGGTTATAACTTATTTATTCATTTCAGGTTTTGGTTCCTCAAAACTTCATCAGGATCAATATTTCAGAAAAAAACACACAATAAATATAGTAAAACACACAAAAAAGTAGTCCTCAAAAAACTTAAGTAACACTTGCACTATAAATGTTCACTGCATTAGAACACTATTTCCCCTGTTCTTTGTCTAAACACCTTGTAACCTGGAGAATATTTGCATTGTTTTAATTAGAATTTCATTTGTAATCTGACTCTACACATTGCCCACAAACTGTAATAAGATCATTATGGTGAATCATTAACTGAACCAGTAATTATGTTAGTCATCCCACCCATACTGCATTGTACATACAATACAACATGTTGCTTGACCCTTGTTAACCTTTACTATCTCCAATTAGAAACAGTATAATTTTACATACAACTTTATAACAGGTCTTTGACTAATGACTTTTGATTGATCTATCTCACTAGAATTAGGATCACTTGTCAATCTTTGTTTGTCTAATTGTATATGAACTGTAAAAGTTATACAGCAACTTGCAAGCTTTACTGCTGGAGGAAGACCTCAGGTGCCCCTTCAATCACTTAAGGTGCAAGTGGGCATCTTAGTAGAACCATCAACCTAACACAAGCTAACTGGACAGCTCACTCACAAAATGAAAGAATCTAAAGCTTATGCAAACTATAAAGCTAAGGCAATCATTTATTAAAATAATTAAAAGACATATCAATCTGTTCTTAATGCTTTTACCTTTTATGCACATTTAATTCAGACATAAGATGTCCAGTTTAATTAATCCAGCAAAATATTGAAATTTGAAGCTTCAAAATAAACTCTTAACTGTTCACTTTAAAACCGTGATATTTAAACGCCTGTAATTTTAAGCGGAGTAAATTGTCCCTTTAGTAAAATTGCTATGAGGAAATCACTATAAACTGTTCAATAGTAAGAAACGAACATCTGCGGATAACCTATAATTTGTCACAAATTACTGCTTTATAATAAATATATATCCATTCAAATACATGGTTTAGGTCAACCTACACTTATAAGGTATACACCCTAGTGGGAAAATCCGAGCATTATAGCTCTTCAGAAATCCTATTCTCTATGCTCAACTGATGCTGTAGCGCACAACACAATTTAACATAAATTCCCCATTCATTTATCTTGTATATAACACACATATTGTCATGATAAACTTTAAAATGTTCTGTAAATGATTGTTTTGAGTTAGGTAACAAATTACTTTTACACTTTGCACCTACATGACCTTTGCCAATATGACGCATGTGACCGGTCATGTGACCCCAGCAGAGCAATATATGACAAGTGTTGCACAGTTTATGTTAAGTTACAACATTTTTGTAGATAATAATGTGAATAAAACATGCCATAAATATGACAAAAATTACTATAAATTATCCTTAAATTACACACTACACTAAAATGCATTATGCAATAGATACCATCAAAGTTTGCATTATTGAGGGGAAAAATGTAACATTTCTTTTTATTAAATATCTCCCGCAAAGTATTAGTATGTTATATTAGGCATTTATTAAAACAAGAGCTGTCCGTAAGACAGCGCGCTCGACTTTTTTATTGCTTGCCAATAAAAAAAGTTTTTGCAGTAATAGGCGAGATAAAATGTGAAATATGCATATACTACTGATTTTAATTTCAAGTACAAAAAGAGAAAAATAACTAGTTGTTTGATACCCTTGAATATTACAGCAATGTTTATATGACATAATTTATGGTAAAGTGAACAAGTGGATAGGAATGAATTTTTTTAGATTTTTTAAGTTTTTTAGTGCTTGCCTATAATACAAAACATTGACAGTTAAGGGCCATAATTCAAATAAAATCTTTGACAGAATTACCTTCTCCTGGACATGTTTGGGAATCATGATTGTAAACAAGTATTCCAACTTTCAAATTAATATCTCAAACAGTTCAGTCAAAAAGTGGACTGGTACTAAAAACTTAACCAAGATTCTAAGTCGATAAAAGGCCTTAATTTTAAAACAAATCCTTGACAGAGTTACCTTCTCTTGCGTACAGATGGGGGTAATGATGTGAAATAGCATTAAAAGTTTCAAAGCAATATCTCAAAGGGTTAAGGCAATAAGTGGATTTTACCCATATTCAATGTATTTTCTAAGTCAAAAAGGGGCATAATTCTGTCAAAAACCTTGACAGAGTTATGTCCTCTTGTCTGTTGATGAAGGTCGTGATGGTAAACAAGTATGGTCAGTTTCAAAGCAATACCTCCAATGGTTTTGAAATAAAGTGAGGTGGTACAAAAAACTTAACCAAGCTCAATACACTTTCTAAGTCAAAAAAGGGCCATAATTCTGTCAAAAACCTTGACAGAGTTATGTACTCTTGTCTGTAGATGGAGGTTATGATGGTGAACAAGTATGGTAAGTTTCAAAGCCATACTTGTAATACTTCTGAAATAAAGTGGGGTGGTACGAAAAACTTAACCAAGGTGTGACGCCAACGCCGACGCCGACGCCGGGGCGAGTAGGATAGCTCCCCTTTTCATAGAAAAGTCGAGCTAAAAATTAGAAATGAAGTTTAAAGTTCATTAAAATATGTGTAAAATGTTTTTATTTATAGCTACCACTCGGAAAACCCTTAGTCCAACTAACTGTACTGCGCGACGAGATATTTTGCTATTTTTGTGTCTGGGCAATACCTCGCGAGATACTGCCCCAGAACGAAAATATCTCAGAATCAAGCTTTGGCATGTCAATATATTTTGACTAGGAAAACCCCATACCTGGGCTGTAACATAATAAATTCATTCAATCTATTGCAGAAATGATTTTTTAAAATGATACAACTTTCAAGTCCTGCATGTAATCCAAACTAAGATATTATGTTGTTTTATAAACATGGGCATTTTATCAATGTGGATTTTAACCAAAACAGAAGTATCTCAGAATCTGTAGAAGATCTCAAAATATGTTCACTAAAGTAAATTAAGGTAAAACATACCTTAAACATTATAATTCCTCCATATTATATATCAATAGCATCTAATGTTCCATCAAAAGTCAGTCACTATAAAATTACCTCTGACACACCTGAAATACATGTAAAAATACCTTTACATATAATGCATATGGTAATACATTCATCAATAAAATTCTAAAACATAATGAAGCCAAACATGACAACATCAGATTTATTCTTAAGTTAATATATTTTAATTCAAAGAAAAATGCTGATTTTACTGTAACATACAATATTTAATATGATAAAAAATTATTTAATTACCAATTAAGATATCATAGTAATGCAAACATTCTAGTACAAATGCACAAGTTAATAAGAATATCCAGAGGAGAGACTGTGACACTATCTAGACTAGAATACCTCTGTAAATACATTAACATATCACAGAAACCTTATACCAGTCTATCAGTTTCAGCTAGTTTATTACTTTATAATTAGTTTATGTCTGACCAAGCTTCACATCAAAGTGTTCCTCATAATAATAACATAACTTGTGCTTTAATGTCTTAACAGTTAAAACATTATTGAGGTGAACCCGCTACATACCAGTTAAATATTAACATCTTCATATATATGGTAAACAGCACCAATTAAAAATAAATTACAGGCTTCCAGATGATAATGTCTTTTAAAAACACTGTACAGACTACAGAATCGTATTTAAACATAAACACTATCTTGGTCATGCACCAGCTGGGAATTACTAACAACATTTTTCCATATATTGTATTGTTTCAAATCTTAATAATTATAAATGTCATAAAACATTTCCTAATAAAATAGTTGCCCCATCAACTCTTGTTCTTAATGGTATACAGACTACCAAAATAAGTTTTAAAAGGTAAATATCTGCAAGCTCCCAAAGTACACTTTCTGTTTGCATGGGAAAGTGTGCCTTAAATGGGTCATTTCAACAGGAAACACTGGGTGTGGAGCTCCAAATGCTTTAAGCACAATTTTAAACATATGTTTTGAAAAAATATCTTTCAACCTTAATAATATTATTATAGACGTTTAAACATGAAATAGGAAATGTCAAATCAAAAATACATCCACATTCCACCATTGTAAATGGAAACTGGCATAAAATTAAGCAAAAAGATTTTCAGGGTTACCTGTCTCTTTGAAAATAAATCTAATTTGATAGTAAACCAGTGTTTCCAGTTTTTGAGAAAAATAGCAGAACAAATAGGATAGCCAAGGCAAAAAATAGTCAAGTTATAAAAGAGGCAAAATTTTGCTAAAAAGATAGGATTATGTACCCTTTTGATATATGCTAACTAGTATACCCCGTTTGAAGTGAAAAGTTCTTTGTAGTTTATGAGAAAAGGACCATAACAAATGCTGATGCCTGCCAACAAGTTAGTCATGACAATAGTTGTGTCCCAGAACTTGGCAAATGTGGGGTTTTCCAAGCTTATCCCCCCCCCACCCTGTCACAAACAAACAATCATTTACTGTTACAGTTTCATGGTGCTTTACATCGTAAAGCTATGGTCTCATTTTCAAAGTTGTAACTATAAAAGTTTGTTTGTAACCCCAACCCATCCCAACCCCACCCACGGATTAGCCAGAGTAAGTCTATAACTCCTTTTTATTTTCGAAAAGTTCGGCTAAAATTGAGTGAGAGTGTATCAATATATGACGGTTGATTTGATTCACAAGTGTGTTCAAACATGACCCTATTAAAATATTTCCTTCATGTATAAAATTAATTAGTAATTCAGTGAAATATGTGGTCAGTTATGCATGAGAAATAAGTCTATCAAATATTCATTAAGTGTCAATCCATCAACCAATGTCCAGAGGGTATGTAGATTATAATTGTAAACAAAATATCCCAGAGTCTGTACTCAAATGTTGACTTATACTTAAATGTATAGTATATCATTACACTTAACGAATAAATTGAGAAGTGATAAATAAATGAACTGTAAAAATCATTGGTTAGTTCAGTCATAAATAATAAATTTTTATATTTGTTCCTTAAACTATATTAATTAAATAAAATTTTACAGTGTATTTGATAATAACAAGTATACATATTAATTTTACAATCATATATAATTATATTATTATGAGCTAAGTGTTATACTCTGAATTAAAGTTCTGTTTTAGTGTAAGATTGTAAATCAATGTGGGAAAGACATTATGTTTTACATCTGTTGGCTTGACCGCTGGCTTTTAGACTTTTAACATATTTATAGTCATATCTAAATGGTTGATCCACTTAGCTGGCTTTCCTGGATAACCAACCAATTTTCCCACACGTTATCATCTACAAAATTATCCCACATATTTTTGAATCAGCAGTGACAGATAAATGACCATTATACTAAATGTGTTGAGATCAAGTTTTAGATAATCATTTAAATTATAAAAAATTCATGCTGTTCATTATTATTATTATTAAAAAAAATAAAAAAATTGAATATATTATTGCACATTACCTAGAAAAAATATAACCCTAAAAATTAGCAGTATTATTTTGTCACATTTTGATACAGACTGATGCATGCCCGGACAATGACTGGTCATTAGTAAGTCACAACAAATGATCAGTGCTAATTAGTCAGCTCAGAGCCTTGAGCTGTGAGACAGCCGCTAGATGGACTTGTTATATAGAAGACCTATTAGCCATGTCTCATTGCTGTACTGACTTAAGTTGTTCCTTGATTTCATTCAAGTTACACCAGTGATGCATTGAACTATGATATACTAAGGAAAGTGTAGGGCTGGCAATCTGATAAATGTCACATGACTATGTAAGTGTCAACAATGTGAGACTGTTATCAGATTCCATCATTGTACTAGTAAATTGCCCTCAAACCGTGTGATTCATTTATGATTTAACACTGATCACCCCTGTATTATATTGTCTACAAATAAACCACCCACTACAACATTATTTTTACATTTAATAATATTTACATAATCTTTAGACTTTACTTAATCTTGTCTCAGTGATGGTATAATCTAATTCATACAAGTAAGTTGACAAGAAAAGATAAAATATACACTGGCATTTCACCCAGGTAAAATAAAGACAGAAAAAAGAAAAGAAAAATTTGGTTAAAAAAGTAAAGCTAGAATTAGATTCATCACTTATACACTTATTTTAGCAATATAAAAACTATTTATACAGCTTTAAATTTAATATTGAAGTCTAAAACACACTCATTTGATTACTGTTTCTCTCCTTCCAAGGACCTTTACACATATTGCCCTCTAAAATTCTTTATAAAAGAGACTTTTTAATTCACGTTTTTGAATGGTTCTGTCTCAAAGCAACAAATTTTCATCAACAGTAGTTTCCAAGTCTTTAACCATCAACACCTTGTATAATATAGCAGAATGGTTTTGAGTGTAAGTGGTCATGTGACTGTGTCCAGCATTACTTGTCAATGTTCCTAAATCTCTCAGAATTTAACATTTAAGTTTAAAAAAGTAGATTTTCTAAATGAAATATGTATACAAACATTATTTATGCTTACTTGTCCCCCTATTCTTCTTCAAGTTTGACTTTGTTCACCAACAACACTTTATTAATCTCCATCATATTATTTAATTTTCAATAACAAACACTCCTTAGTCTAAAGATCTATTCAAATATAACTGTATTAGTATTTTGTACCTCTAGTTTACTAGTATAATCACAAAGTCATGTTTTATTATTATACATAATTATATACATTATATTTTTACTAAACTATCTGACAATAACAGAGAGATAACTGACTATCCCCGGGGATATATGATAAAATATTATGACATAGAACACTTTCATCTTAATACATCAGTTAAATTCAATTATGATTTTCTTCAAAAGTAATGTTCAAATAAAACCTATTGACTTTGTTTTTTAATCATTATTATCAAAAAGCCAAAATAATAAACTTTCTTGACTGCAATAAATTACCTAAATAATATGATGACTTATTAGTATGCTTGTTGGACATATACTGATTTCTTATATTAGTGTTTGAATACAAACATACATTTTGGAATGCATTTAAATCATAAGACTTAGCCTAATATGAGCTGTAAAACAAAAACTAATATTTTTTAGGCTGAAATTTAGAGAAATAGAGGATATTGAATGAGTGTGAGTTCAATACTGTATTTATAAATTCAGTTATAAACCAACACAAATATAATATTCTATTTATCACATACCCAAAATAAAAAACTGTTTAATGTGAAAAAACGCCATTTTCCATTGATGCGTCTATAGTGCAATGCTAACATTTAGTGCCTCTTTGTAACACTATGTTTGTATAAAGCGAATGACATCATGTCAAAATATATGCACGGCCGTGCCATAGCATTTTTAAGGAGTCCCAAAAGTGGCATGGGTATGTGATAATTTCATTTGTGACTTTGTAAGAACTTAATATTGAAGATCAATTTATAAAATAACAACATCTTTGAACATATTATACACAATCCTTTCATATATTTATTTCTTAAGCAAATTAAAGTTGTCATGGACTTTCTATAACAACTTTTATTATTTACTACAATGAGGCATGACCATGTTGTCATACAATAGTAAAATACGTTCCATGACAACTGACATGTATCAAATTATAAACTCTACAATTTGTTCTGATTTGTCTTAATGAATAAAAACAATAGGGGGGACCACCCGATTATATTATCTGTGTAGAAAAGATAGGTTCAAATACCGCCTTTATCTGGTTAGTAAACAAAGGGAGAATTGAAATATTTTTTAAACTTGATTAAATATATTGAATGTTATCTGATGACCTTATATAGAAAATGTAACAAATTATAGCTACCTGAATACCTGATTATACAGCAAGTACTGATTAATGCATTAGAAAACCAAACAAATTTGTATGTATTATAGAGAATGCCAAACTTATAAATCCAGTTTGCTGTAGGTGCATTGCATTGTCACTTAGTATTTCCCAATGGATTGCTTTTATCACCAGTTATTACAATGCATTATCTGAGTGATAAAGCCAATTCAAATCTAGTAAAAGTATAATATCAAAGTGACATTTTTATTACAAATATTTTCAAATAATTTTATACCAGACAATGATGGCCGGGGCACCAGACTATGTCCTTAGCTATATAGCTGTGTAATACAATATAATTATTTACTTTGTGTGCGGCAAATTTAACTTTGCAAAATTCATATTTCATCTTGTATAATAAGTGTTCTTCATACTTTATCAAATAAATAACAAAGAAGGAAGTCTCTTATTTCATTAAATAAAGACATGTAAGATATACTGTGAAACTAGAGTACTTGTCACATGTGATGTTAAGTATTTTTTAGTCCATTTTCTTTTTTAACCTGGAACTAACAAGTACTGCATGCTGTCATATGAGGACTAGGGTGAATTTTTATTGACATTAAAAACAGAAAAAAGAATAATTACACTGTAATGATATACAGTATACTTTTCATTATCAAAAATATACGTCAGGATTTTCTTGCTGTTGTAAAATAGGTCCCAAAACTTGATAAAGTGAACAAGTTAAATTTTAGAAATTGAACTTAAATAAAAGGTCAACCAGCACCAACCAAGAAGGGACCTCATGACAATTTGTTAGTTAGCCGACACATTTGTCTTCCTAAAAAATATTCAGCTAAAATAATTTTAACTGAAATGTGTACAACATGATAACATAACATTTCGTGGAGGATCCAAATTGAATAATTTGCATAAAATTCAAGGACATAACTCTTTTGCAATTTTATGATTTTTTAATATATCATATTTAAATAATAATGTAATGCATTGAAATGGTTACACAAAGGAAGGTTTCCTGTTCACATGAATTAAGTCTAACCCCTTCTCATGCTCTCACCTTACCAAAACACCGGAAATAAAGTACACCTTCAAAATATTCCCCTTGCTTTGTAGATTACACATTAAAATCTAATTATAATCAAAAATATCTTTATTAAATCTCAAAAATAAAATTTCTCAACAAAAGAGATAAAAATCTTTAAAATACCTGATTTTTTGTCAATTTTCAAATAATTTGCAATCATCATAATTACTCTACAAACTAACATCAGTTTTAGATAAAAACTCACACAGTATTTATAACCTTCCAAGGATATTACAAGCTTTTCAGAACTGTGAAATGAATTTTGCATTAACTATATAGATGCTAATCAGACAGCATATCTGTGTTCAGTGCACTCTATTTTGTTGGGTGTACAATATTGAAATTCCTCGATTTTATATTTGAATATTCCAAATAAAAAGCCGGGTATTTATTACAATTTTTTTTAAATACATGTTAAATGTAACTACATTGTGTTTTAACTTGACATCTCTTAAATAGACAATGCACAATTCCAACTTCACATGAGAAAAACCTCAGATCTTGTAATAAAAGTATACCACACATTTACAGAAAGAAGATAAATGGAAGTCATTTTAGATAAAGTAATTGCTTTCAGGTCCTGAACTTCCTCTAACTGCCAACTCCAATACTTTTTTATCAGACAACAGGCAATAAAAATATTGTTCTGGCAAAAAACACTGATAATTTGTGTACATCAACAAGTAAATGTGATTTTGAAGTACGCCTGACACAGTAACATGTCAACTATAAATCACATCACTTCACAAGGTTGACAGATCTAAACTAGGTTTGTCATTTCTATAACCAATCATAAAAAAACAATAACCACTAAATCGCAACAGGTTCAAATCTTGCTTTCGGATGTAAAAAAATTATATATATAAATAAAAAGATTGTTTATGTTAGTGACATCAACCCTGTATAATGGTGTTTTGTTTTTGCTTCAGGAAAATCTCATGTTCCCCTCTGTTCATTATTTCTGTAACAAGCCATAACTGGATAACTTCCTCACATCAAGTAAATGTCACTGAGAGGAGATGAAACCTACAGTATTGAGGGGAATGGTGGTGACCTTAACAAACTTAGCCTTTGAGGTCCCAATTGTCTTACATGAAGAAGCCAATGAACTATCTACCAGAAGGCTGAGGTTTCTACTATATCAAGTTGCCTGAATAAAATGGTGCATGCTGTGACAAAGAAACTTTCTAAACAACAATCATTCAAAGTACCTATTTATCCTGCGTAACTAAATTGTGACATAAAACTAAAAAACCCTTTTTCATCAAACAAAAAATGCATGCATTGTTGTTAATTTTGACAAAACAAAACACCTTCTGTCGTAATTTAAAGATTCATGTCTCTAGATGAGTCAACAAATACAGCATAAGTAAAATACATGTAATTTAGTTATCTAAATGTAGAAATGTTTTTATATTCACAATCAAATGGATATTTTGCATGTTCTAAGCAAAAACATTACAAAATTTACTATTTCCATCATCAAATATGGGTTATTTCATCATATTCTGGTTTTTGTGAACAGTAATATACATGATGATATATCACTTTATTTGTACACAAGTCTGGAAGAATCTTTTCTAACAACAATATATATCAAGCTAAACATGAATCTGGTGATGTGCTGTTTTAAACTGCACACTCCAATATATTGTCAACAATTAGAGAGGAAAATAACATATATATTTACCTTGCAGGCTTTTATTCCTTCATTTAAAGAGCTTAAACTATTGTTATTTCCATAACAAAGATCAATCAGAAATAAAATAAATATTTTCACTTAGTTTCCACAAATGTAACATTTTTCAATCAACGTAGCTTTGTAGGCAGATACTGTTCCATGTTGTATGGTATACACTGAAGAAACAAGATCCGTTTAAGGTAATTTACATGTATCATATAGCTGTAAAGCTCCCCCCTTGATCTACAACCTATAGAAAATCATATGGCGCATCCATACAAATTATTGCCCTAAATCTATTTTCACATAAATACTGGAATGTGACATAAAAACTGTACACTCTATTCTACAATACATACTTTATGTTGTCAAACATTTTTTATGACCTACAATTTCATGTTTATTGATATGTTATATAGGTTCGAAAATATCATAAATGTCTTCTATATTACTTTGTTGAGGAACTTTGAAAACCTATTTGTAAAACTCTTTGGTTCATTAACAGACACTGAATTATTAATTTAAGTATGTGATAGTAGAAGAAGATTATCAAACCTAAAATTGTATCAAATATTTTTATACATGAAGTTTGTAACAATTTGTTAGACAATGAAAGGTCATTACATAATTATAATAACAAAATTTTAACCAGAGCCTCCCACATACCCTTCCTTTGTCCCCCTTGAATGGGAGTGTATGCGAAATGAGTGCTCCTTTTGCAAAGATTTTGTTTTGGCACCTTGCAGTGCAGACACATTTAACAGACACATAAGGAGAAATATTCCCATCTAACTTGTGTGTATTATAGTAGGAAGTGACGGTACATTAATTATATAAGCAAAAGAGACCTTACATGACATTGCATCAAATTTATAATAGATTTGCAGGCTAACAACATTGCTAAAGTCAGATAACATACACAGTACATATAACAGACTTAAGTCAGATAACATACACAGTACCATATAACAGACTCAAGTCAGATAACTGACACAGTACCATATAACAGACTCTAGTCAGATAACTGACACAGTACCATATAACAGACTCATGTCAGATAACTGACACAGTACCATATAACAGACTCATTTCAGATAACATACACAGTACCATATAACAGACTCATTTCAGATAACATACACAGTACCATATAACAGACTCAAGTCAGATAACTGACACAGTACCATTTAACAGACTTAAGTCAGATAACTGACACAGTACCATATAACAGACTTAAGTCAGATAACATACACAGTACCATATAACAGACTCAAGTCAGATAACTGACACAGTACCATATAACAGACTCAAGTCAGATAACTGACACAGTGCCATATAACAGACTCAAGTCAGATAACTGACACAGTACCATATAACAGACTCAAGTCAGATAACATACACAGTACCATATAACAGACTCAAGTCAGATAACATACACAGTACCATATAACAGACTCAAGTCAGATAACTGACACAGTACCTATATAACAGACTAAAGTCAGAAAACTGACACAGTACCATATAACAGTCTCAAGTCAGATAACATGTCATGAGTACCATATAACAGACTCAAGTCAGATAACATACACAGTACCATATAACAGACTCATGTCAGATAACATGACACAGTACCATATAATAGACTCAAGTCAGATAACATACACAGTACCATATAACAGACTCAAGTCAGATAATTGACACAGTACCATATAACAGACTCAAGTCATAACTGTCACAGTGTCATATAACAAACTCTAGTCAGATAACTGACATAGTACCATATAAAAAACTCATGTCAGATAACATACACAGTGCCATATAACAGACTCAAGTCAGATAACATACAAAGTACCATATAATAGACTCAAGTCAGAAAACTGACACAGTGCCATATAACAGACTCAAGTCAGATAACTGACACAGTACCATATAACAGACTCAAGTCAGATAACTGACACAGTGCCATATAACAGACTCAAGTCAGATAATTGACACAGTACTATATAACAGACTCTAGTCAGATAACATACACAGTGCTATATAACAGACTCAAGTCAGATAACTGACACAGTACCATATAACAGACTTAAGTCAGATAACATACACAGGACCATATAACAGACTTAAGTCAGATAACATACACAGTACCACATAACAGACTCAAGTCAGATAACTGACACAGTACCATATAACAGCCTCTAGTCAGATAAATGACACAGTGTCATATAACAGACTCAAGTCAGATAACTGACACGGTACCATATAACAGACTCAAGTCAGATAACTGACACAGTGCTATAGAACAGAATCAAGTCAGATAACTGACACAGTGCCATATAACAGACTCAAGTCAGATAACTGACATGGTACCATATAGCAAACTCAATTCAGATAATTGACACAGTACCATTTAACAGACTCACAATCAGGTCAACATGGAAGGTTCACACATTATAAGTTCCTCACAATTTTACAATCACAATGGAGATCATTTCAGAACAATAAAAGCAAAAACAAATTAATTTTGTTACACTTAATACATGATGTGGGATGCTTATCATTCTGTTTGTTTTTCTGTTGTTTTTAAGCTGATTATAACACATTTAATTTGTCCATTAAATGGCAGTCTAACAACTTAATTGGCTTTCCTGGATAACAACTAGTTATTACCAGTTCAGACCAGACTTTTAATCCCACATTATTTCGAATCAGCCATGAGATACAAAATAACCATATATACCGGTAGACACAGAAAAATACACTTCTCCGAAGGATCAAACTATCAACCCTGGATTACTCATCCAATGATCTCCCTATTCAGCTACATGTTAGTGGGCCGACTATTTGAAGACATACATTAGGTTTAGCTCCTTTATATAAGAGCATGGTAAAGTATGGAAACAGCTCAACTTTTACTAAATTTGGGAGATATTGCTGGATCTCAGGATACTTGACTTGTCATGTGAAGTGTTTAAACTAAGATAATACATAAAATAAACCCTTGACTTCCTGACAAAATCCTGGTAACCTCTGACCCCTAATGACACAATATTTACTATAACCAACATAATCTTATCATCTTGTTTACATGCTTCATACTTAAATGCAAGCTATAAATTTCATATATAGACATTAATGGTCAACATACTTAACAGTTAATGACCGGAAGAATTATAAAACTGTCAAAAGCTGGATTAATAACCCACAATAAGGAATTTTAAACTGCTCTTAATAAGATAAATCAGCTGTTCTAAGACTTTTTCTACAGGAGAGAAATTTATAAAGAACAATTTTACAACTAATTTCTAAAAACATTTCAATTTAAAAAAATAACCCAAGCACTTTTTATAAACAATATTTTAATTTTCATTACAAACTGGAAAATATTTACTAAGAGATTTTAAAATAAAAACACTTATACTCTCTAAATTTTGGACAAGTTCTCTAAATTTTTGCCCAGTACCAACAATTCTATTGTACAGTATTAATTAGCGCTCTACCTTCTTAAATCCGGACCACTATCCCTCTAAATTTTGGACCAGTATTTCTCTAAATTTTGGACCAGTATTAAGCATACTACCCGACCAACATTCAGTATTCTACTCTTGTTTCACTCATCTACGAACAGTATTCCCCTGAATTTTGTACTAATATTAAGCATCTTCCCTCCAAATTCTTTGACCAGTAATTGACCTTGTACAGCCTGAATGAGACAACTATCAAAAACCTCATATACATAATTCTGTCTTCTATCAAAGACAGTGAAATCATATCCTATCTTAGAATGATTAAAATGACAACCATGCTATCTCTTAACAAAGTGGTTCAGTTGATTATCTAAACCTTTATTTAGAGTACAGGAAATTTGTATTACTAATATAAAACAAAACACATAAAATGATTAGACAAAACAAACAAAGATAGTATAAACAAACATGACTTGTTTATACCAACATTACTCTTTTACCATCCATACATCCAAACAATAGCCTACACTTATCATAATTAACTTATCAGAAAAAATGAAAACATAAACATTAGTGAGGGAAATGTGTATGCTACATAATTTATACATGGCAATTTCTGTCTATTTCAGTGTTACAATGAACCCAGTACCTAATGTCATTTTTACACCCCAAAAATGTTGATGTGGCCAAAGAAAGCAAAAATTAAAAGTTAAAAATACATGAATTATCTAAAATTTATGTTAATGTTACATACATTTAGGTTTGGAAAAAGAGACATCTGAAATTTAATATTTTATAAATATAATGATACCTTTTCCAGATCCAGAATAAATCTGCATTACTTTTCAATATCAAAACTCTTAAATAGAAGCATCACAAAATCCAAGATTTAACTGGTTCCCAACAATATTAGACAATGTACAAAGTTCTAGAAATGAGACAATTAGTACTTGAGACAGCAATATCTGATTACATGCACAATCCAGAATAATTCCAAACTGTTCTTAATTACAGAAAAATCAAAACTTTTGTTGCTTAGCACTTTTCTGCATAATTTTCACACTACATAACCCTTTGTTTGATGACTCAATAGAAAATCATGAAATTTATAAAAGTCGTGTGTAAATCTGCGTGCGTGCTCCTTACGTAGCCAGACTCATGTTGGAGACACAATATCGCCCACAATCAAATCTTGTTGATTCCTGCCCATTTAAAACAATGACTGTCATATAAGGACTATATCATATAGATCTTTTGTCACTTTCTATCTTTAATACAGTATGACAAAAGCTTTTGTTTTAAGGGTGTTACTCAATCTATCGTGAGACATAACAAATTCAATGACGTCTTTTTAAACAGTTAGTAAGATACGATCAAAATAAATCAGTCACAAACTGCAATGATATCAGCCTTGTTCAAGGTGACTGACTGTATTATACAATATTTCAACACTACAAAACTATTATATAAACTAAAAAAAAAACAGGTTTGAAAAGAATTTCACAACATTATGGTATTTTTAGTAAAAATGAAGACTGCATAAACATAATATAACTGAGCTGTAGCATGGGAAAACAAAGTGATAGCTGCTTGTCATAACTATATGTTCATATTTTTAGAGTAAAATTAATGGTATTGCATAAATTTGCATGTTAATGTTGATTTTAACACTGATAAAAATATTGCAAAACTATCTATTAGAAGGGAGTCAAATGACAAATGTAGATGAC